TACCTGGTAAACTGTTGTGTGGTCCTTATACCTGGTACACTGTGGTGTGGCCATTATACCTGGTACACTGTGGAGTGGCCCTTATACCTGGTACACTGTGGTGTGGCCCTTACACCTGGTACACTGTGGTGTGGCCCTTATACCTGGTACACTTTGGTGTGGCCCTTATACCTGGTACACTGTGGTGTGGTCCTTATACCTGGTACACTGTGGAGTGGCCCTTATACCTGGTACACTGTGGTGTGGTCCTTATACCTGGTACACTGTGGAGTGGCCCTTATACCTGGTACACTGTGGTGTGGTCCTTATACCTGGTACACTGTGGTGTGGCCCTTATACCTGGTACACTGTGGTGTGGCCCTTATACCTGGTACACTGTGGTGTGGCCCTTATACCTGGTACACTGTGGTGTGACTCTTATACCTGGTACACTGTGGTGTGGCCCTTTCACTTGATACACTGAGGTGTGGCTCTTACACCTGATACACTGAGGTGTGGCCCTTACACCTGATACACTGAGGTGTGGCCCTACACCTGATACACTGAGGTGTGGCCCTACACCTGATACATTGAGGTGTGGCCCTACACCTGATACATTGAGGTGTGGGCCCTACACCTGATACACTGAGGTGTGGCCCCTACACCTGATACACTGTGATATGGCCCTACACCTGATACATTGAGGTGTGGCCCTACACCTGATACATTGAGGTGTGGCCCTACACCTGATACACTGAGGTGTGGCCATACACCTGATACATTGAGGTGTGGCCCTACACCTGATACACACTGGCGTGGCCCTTCACCTGATACACTGAGGTGTGGCCTTACACCTGATACACTGTGATATGGCCCTACACCTGATACATTGAGGTGTGGCCCTACACCTGATACACTGAGGTGTGGCCCTACACCTGATACACTGAGGTGTGGCCTTACACCTGATACACTGTGATATGGCCCTACACCTGATACATTGAGGTGTGGCCTTACACCTGATACATTGAGGTGTGGGCCCCTACACCTGATACACTGAGGTGTGGCCCTTACACCTGGTACACTGAGGTGTGGCCCTACACCTGATACACTGTGGTGTGGGCCCCAACACCTGATACACTGAGGTGTGGCCCTACACCTGATACACTGAGGTGTGGGCCCCTACACCTGATACACTGAGGTGTGGCCCTACACCTTATACACTGAGGTGTGGCCCTACACCTGATACACTGAGGTGTGGCCCTGCACCTGATACACTGAGGTGTGACGACGACGCTGAGGTGTGCAAGAGGTCTGGCTCATCGTGCACATTTAGCTGTTTTAATGCAAACAAAAAAATTGGTAACTCGCCAGAATTGCTATTTTTTCATAATTTGACCGCGAATTAATAAAAAATATTTTAAATTGGTCAGTTTCATTCAGATAGACGAAAAGTGTAGCAAGAACTTATGTTCTGATTTTTTACGGCATTATACAAACTGTAACATATATTGGAAAACAAATGTGAAATAGCACCCTGAAAGGGAGGGAAGTATCAGGGGAAAGTGCTAAGCTATTATGACTATATTGCACCTGAAAAGGATCAGGATAAAGATCTGGGATGGAACGGGGGAAGTAATGGTGCTCAACCACTTGGACGGCCAGGGATTGAACACCGACCTGTATGAAGAGAGACCGTTGCCCTACAGAACCTCCTCGTAAACAAAGGACAAAGTCTATTCCATCCACCCGCCAACCCCCAGCTGTTTATGAATGAAAATGGTTCACACACGACTCCCAACTAATGACGTCCGAACACTTACGAAACAAGTGCTTCACTGACGACTTTTGTTCGAACCACAACGCTATAAACAGCCCGTCCTCCAAACAAAGATCCAAAAGTGATTCCATGCACCCGCCAAACCCCCTGTTTATGAATGAAAAGCGGTTTACACACGACTCACAACTGCTGACGTTCGAACATATCCGGAACAAGTGTTTCACTGACGAATTTTGTTCGAATCACAACGCTATAAATGCTTCACCCACGTACTACAAATACAAATAATCGCCAATAGAACCTAGACACCTAACCTAACCAATGCCTAAATATGCACAATAAGCTAATGCTGTATATAACAATCTTAGTTTATATTTGAGAAAATTTCTGTTTGGATAGAACACGTGTTAAAATTGATGAATGCGTCTTTGGGGTCGACAGCTGGATGGAATGTACTTGGTCTGATGGGTGGGTGCGCTCTACCGTCCAGCCCAAGCGGTTGGGCACCATTCCTTCCCCTCCGCCTGAAGCCACACTTGACTGTGGCTTCACACTTGACTCTCTCATTTTGATGAATGAGAGAGAGAGAGAGAGAGAGAGAGAGAGAGAGAGAGAGAGAGAGAGAGAGAGAGATAGAGAGAGAGAGAGTGAGAGAGTGAGAGAGTGAGAGAGTGAGAGAGTGAGAGAGTGAGAGAGTGAGAGAGAGAGAAAGAGAGAAGAGAGAGAGAGAGAGAGAGAGAGAGAGAGAGAGAGAGAGAGAGAGAGAGAGAGAGAGAGAGAGAGAGAGAGAGAGAGAGAGAGAGAGAGAGAGAGAGAGAGAGAGAGAGAGAGAGAGAGAGAGAGAGAGAGAGATTGTTGCACTCAGACGTCAAAGAGAACCCATTGGAAAAAAATGTTCTTATATAGTTATTGACATGTTAACATTTTATTTTTAAAACATTTATATCGAAGAAAAAACCCTTTGAAGTAGAACTAGACAAACGTGCGACTGTTTGTACAAAGCCAACGAGAAGTCGAACAAAGATAAGATGAACACTTCCAACACACATCATCAGGGGTCAACGTACTGTTATCTACACTGTGTCGTCACTTCACGGAGCTCTATACATGCTCCGATGATGATATACACGACGGAACTTTTGTATAACGAATGAGTATTCTCGCATTCTTCTATGATCATTTATAAGTAATGTTGATTTAAACATTCACGAAATGTATATCCACGTATTAAATAGTTCATTATACAACTAAATCATTCGTCATTCTGTTTTAAAGAAGCTCATTAGCTCATTGGCTCTTAAAATGGTTACCCTTCCAGCATCTTTATGTTCTCCCTGTTCACCCTAGCGACCGTCACCCTCACCACTCAGGGGCAGCAACCATATGGTCTCCGTGTTCACCCTAGCGACCGTCACCCTCACCACTCAGGGGCAGCAACCATATGGTCTCCGTGTTCACCCTGGCGACCACCAGCCTCACCACTCAGGGGCAGCAACCATATGGTCTCCGTGCTCACCCTAGCGACCGTCACCCTCACCACTCAGAGGCAGGAACCATATGGTCTCCGTGTTCACCCTGGCGACCGTCACCCTCACCACTCAGAGGCAGCAACCATATGGTCTCCGTGTTCACCCTAGCGACCGTCACCCTCACCACTCAGGGGCAGCAACCATATGGTCTCCGTGTTCACCCTAGCGACCGTCACCCTCACCACTCAAAGGCAGCAACCATATGGTCTCCGTGCTCACCGTGCTGCTTGTGGGGACCCACTACGGGGACACGGTGCCAGCTGGTGTTGACAGTGTAACGGCCTTCAGCGCCTAACCCGCACCATTGCCCCCGGTCTTCACCCCGTCTACACCTCCCCTCCGGACCCTCCGCCGCTCCTCTTACTACACAGCTTCAACACGAATTACCCAAATTCCCCGGAGCCTCGCTAAATGTTTTCGCTTAATTTGTATTAAAAAAGTTGTGGTGAGACAACTCAGTATGCCGGGTAATGCCAGGATTATGTGGATTGTTGGCACTAAGTTGACCTTGGTGAGGTTGTTGTTGTAGCGGTGGTGATGGTTGTTAGTTGTGGGTGTGATGGTGGGGTGTGTGGTGGTAGTGGTGGTTGGAGCAGTGGTAATAGTGGTGGGTATTGTTTTAAAGTTGATAGGTATGGTGGTAATTTTGGTGGGTGTGGGGCCGACCCATGGTGTTTCGTGTTGTGGCGATGGTGGTTGGTATGGTGAGAATGGTGGTGGTGAGAGGCGTAGTAATTTTGATGAACATATGGTAGTGGTAAGGTCGGTGGTAGTGTGATGGCCATGGTGGCAGGTGTGGTGGTAATGATTGTGGTAGTGGGTGTAGTGGTGATGGTGGTAGGTATGGTGTTAACAATGGTGGTTGATGTGATGATAATGGTGATGGAAATTGTGGTGGTAATGGGTGTGGTGGCGACTGTGTTTACTGGAGTGATTGGGGTGCAAGTGTGGTTGTTGGCGTGGCAATTGTGGTGGCGTGTATGGTGGTAATGGTAGTGTTGGTTGTGGTGGTAGGTGTCCCAGGACAGGTGGTGGTAGTTGTGGTAATAGCGACTACGAGAACCTAGGTCGTTGTACCCTGCCTACTGCAGCCTTATGAAATATGTACTTTATAAACCAAATATTCTGACCTACTTATAACGTGTCGACTCTGGCCTTAAACTTGCGACGCTCCTGCTGTGAGAGCCTCAAGTTCCAGTCTATATATGACTGTGTGAAAACAAAATCTCATTTAAATAAGCCATAGCAAAAACAACACAGGAGAAAAAAAACAAGGGAAAAAATGACTAATAACATGGGAAGTTATTAGAAAGTTATTAGTAAGAGAAGAAGGGAATATTGGAAATAATAAAAGCCACATAGTTGTGTGAGCGTGAGAGAGAACTCAAGTTAATTACAGACGGACGACTGTTAGAAATCCTCTCACCTGTTGTGATTGGTGCGTCTAATTAGTGTAATTGGCACACCTGGTCTTTAAACTATATTTTCAACAATGAAACACGATGTGTAACCAGCTCCCGGAGCAACGTTGATAAATCTACCAGGGAGAACACGAACAGTGTCCAGTGAGAGAATGTGAAAAGCGAAAGACAGAATAAACGAAAGAGATGAATTCTGAACTAAACAAATCTTGGGAAAATGAAACAGGAGCAAGATGAAGCAGAGACAAGGGCTTGAGACCCTTAATATAGAGGAAATTAAGCAGGAAAAAATGTCTAACGGGAATGAGCATCAGAGTAAAGTAAGACGCGAGGCCGGGGTGTGGAGGGAAGACTGGAGGCCGGGGTGTGGAGGGAAGACTGGAGGCCGGGGTGTGAAGGGAAGACTGGAGGCCGGGGTGTGAAGGGAAGACTGGAGGCCGGGGTGTGAAGGGAAGACTGGAGGCCGGGGTGTGGAGGGAAGACTGGAGGCCGGGGTGTGAAGGGAAGACTGGAGGCCGGGGTGTGAAGGGAAGACTGGAGGCCGGGGTGTGGAGGGAAGACGGGAGGCCGGGGTGTGGAGGGAAGACGGGAGGCCGGGGTGTGGAGGGAAGACTGGAGGCCGGGGTGTGAAGGGAAGACTGGAGGCCGGGGTGTGAAGGGAAGACTGGAGGCCGGGGTGTGGAGGGAAGACTGGAGGCCGGGGTGTGGAGGGAAGACTGGAGGCCGGGGTGTGAAGGGAAGACGGCAGATTAAACTTACTAAACTGAAAAAAACAAATTCATAATAGTCAGGTGCAGGTGAGAATGAAGGTGAGGGCGTAATTTACAATTATCAACAGGAGGAGATAACAGCAGGTGTGGCAGGCAGTGTGGCAAGATCACTAAGTGTTCAGTGCCGAGGAGATAACAGCAGGTGTGGCAGGCTGTGTGACAAGATCACTAAGTGCTCAGTACCGAGGAGATAACAGCAGGTGTGGCAGGCTGTGTGGCAAGATCACTAAGTGTTCAGGGCCGAGGAGATAACAGCAGGTGTGGCAGGCAGTGTGGCAAGATCACTAAGTGTTCAGGGCCGAGGAGATAACAGCAGGTGTGGCAGGCTGTGTGGCAAGATCACTAAGTGTTCAGGGCCGAGGAGATAACAGCAGGTGTGGCAGGCTGTGTGGCAAGATCACTAAGTGTTCAGTGCCGAGCAGATAGCAGCAGGTGTGGCAGGCAGTGTGGCAAGATCACTAAGTGTTCAGGGCCGAGGAGATAACAGCAGGTGTGGCAGGCAGTGTGGCAAGATCACTAAGTGTTCAGGGCCGAGGAGATAACAGCAGGTGTGGCAGGCAGTGTGGCAAGATCACTAAGTGTTCAGGGCCGAGGAGATAACAGCAGGTGTGGCAGGCAGTGTGGCAAGATCACTAAGTGTTCAGTGCCGAGGAGATAACAGCAGGTGTGGCAGACAGTGTATGTTACGGCCCTCTCGGGTCGCAACCGGGTTCTTTCTCTGATGTTGTTAGAAGTAGGGTATCCGGCCCCAAGCTAGTAGTGGCTTTCAAGGGATGTGATCCGTAACGCAAGTAAATTAAAGGGGAAGGGAGACAAAGGAAAAAACTTAATAATATAATTATCACCGTCACCATAAATAATATATAGATTATCACACGGGGGAGGAATAAACACTATTATGTACAACGTAGTCTTCCTCTGAAGACTACGTGAACTCTGGACGTTCTCGGAGGAGATAACAGCAGGTGTGGCAGACAGTGTGGCAAGATCACTAAGTGTTCAGTACCGAGGAGATAACAGCAGGTGTGGCAGGCAGTGTGGCAAGATCACTAAGTGTTCAGGGCCGAGGAGATAACAGCAGGTGTGGCAGGCAGTGTGGCAAGATCACTAAGTGTTCAGGGCCGAGGAGATAACAGCAGGTGTGGCAGGCAGTGTGGCAAGATCACTAAGTGTTCAGGGCCGAGGAGATAACAGCAGGTGTGGCAGACAGTGTGGCAAGATCACTAAGTGTTCAGGGCCGAGGAGATAACAGCAGGTGTGGCAGGCAGTGTGGCAAGATCACTAAGTGTTCAGTACCATCTTGACAGGAAATTAATGACGAGGAAAGCTGTGTTATTTAGGGATTAACCGGAGTGGTGCAAATGGTCTCCAAGCAGGAAAGACTACAATTGTAAGTCTGGAGTTTAAATAAATATTGTAATGTTATAATGTTGATTTAGCAGTTAATGAAATTAAATTAATTATGAAAATTAAGGATATTATGGAAACAAAGGAAGACTTGTTCCGGTTCAGTTTTCCAGCAAGAATGCTGCCTACTATGTCTAGCAACACAAGAATATGCTAACATACTATGTCTAGCAACACAAGAATATGCTAACATACTATGTCTAATAACACAAGAATATGCTAACATACTATGTCTAGCAACACAAGAATATGCTAACATACTATGTCTGGCAACACAAGAATATGCTAACATACTATGTCTAGCAACACAAGAATATGCTAACATACTATGTCTAGCAACACAAGAATATGCTAACATACTATGTCTGGCAACACAAGAATATGCTAACATACTATGTCTAGCAACACAAGAATATGCTAACATACTATGTCTAGCAACACAAGAATATGCTAACAGATACTGGCCACTGTTGCCACGTGTTCACTGATAATAATTATTATGTGAATAATAATAATTCATTGTGTCTTGGGACAGGCAGCCAGTATATACATAGAACACACGTTAGGCTTATATCGAGGGCCATCTGTTGAGCGCACCCGACCCCTTTTTCTGCTCCCCAGTTGAAGGCTTTGATCTTACTGACCCCTGTGTAGTGTCCTGCTTACTATTCCATCTGTTGCTCCTCAGAAGTGATGTGGGTGGTAACTTGGTCGACAGGAATCAGTTCATCCTGGTCAGTCCCCAACTCAAGACTGGTTCCAGTGGGAACAATTGGGCCGTGTTGGTGGAGACTGGGATTTGTTTGTAATAACCAGTGGAGTATTGGTGAGTCGACGTGTCAAGGGATGGCCCAGTTGAGTTATGAGACGGAATTAGTGCTTGTCTGTTAAGGCTTGTTATAGTTGAAGCCTGTGAGGAAGCCTGCCAGCGTGTTGCTGGAGACCTCTGCCAGTGTGTTGCTGGAGACCCCTGCCAGTGTGTTGCTGGAGACCCCTGCCAGTGTGTTGCTGGAGACCCCTGCCAGTGTGTTGCTGGAGACCCCTGCCAGTGTGTTGCTGGAGACCCCTGCCAGTGTGTTGCTGGAGACCCCTGCCAGTGTGTTGCTGGAGACCCCTGCCAGTGTGTTGCTGGAGACCCCTGCCAGTGTGTTGCTGGACACCCCTGCGAGTGTGTTGCTGGACACCCCTGCCAGTGTGTTGCTGGAGACCCCTGCCAGCGTGTTGCTGGAGACCCCTGCCAGCGTGTTGCTGGAGACCCCTGCCAGCGTGTTGCTGGAGACACCTGCGAGTGTGTAGCTGGACACCCCTGCCAGTGTTTTGCTGGAGAACCCTGCCAGCGTGTTGCTGGTGACCCCCTGCCAGTGTGTTGCTGGAGACCCCTGCCAGTGTGTTGCTGGAGACCCCTGCCAGTGTGTTGCTGGAGACCCCTGCCTGTGTGTTGCTGGAGACCCCTGCCAGCGTGTTGATGGAGACTCCTGCCAGCGTGTTTCTGGAGACCCCTGCCAGTGTGTTGCTGGAGACCCCTGCCAGTGTGTTGCTGGAGACCCCTGCCAGTGTGTTGATGGAGACTCCTGCCAGCGTGTTGATGGAGACCCCTGCCAGTGTGTTGCTGGAGACCCCTGCCAGCGTGTTGATGGAGACTCCTGCCAGCGTGTTGCTGGAGACCCCTGCCAGTGTGTTGCTGGAGACCCCTGCCAGTGTGTTGCTGGAGACCCCTGCCAGTGTGTTGCTGGAGACCCCTGCCAGTGTGTTGCTGGAGACCCCTGCCAGTGTGTTGCTGGAGACCCCTGCCAGTGTGTTGCTGGAGACCCCTGCCAGTGTGTTGCTGGAGACCCCTGCCAGTGTGTTGCTGGAGACCCCTGCCAGTGTGTTGCTGGAGACCCCTGCCAGCGTGTTGCTGGAGACCTCTGCCAGCGTGTTGCTGGAGACCCCTGCCAGTGTGTTGCTGGAGACCCCTGCCAGTGTGTTGCTGGAGACCCCTGCCAGCGTGTTGATGGAGACTCCTGCCAGCGTGTTGCTGGAGACCCCTGCCAGTGTGTTGCTGGAGACCCCTGCCAGCGTGTTGATGGAGACTCCTGCCAGCGTGTTGATGGAGACTCCTGCCAGCGTGTTGCTGGAGACCCCTGCCAGTGTGTTGCTGGAGACCCCTGCCAGTGTGTTGCTGGAGACCCCTGCCAGCGTGTTGATGGAGACCCCTGCCAGCGTGTTGATGGAGACTCCTGCCAGTGTGCTGCTGGAGACTCCTGCCAGTGTGTTGCTGGAGACTCCTGCCAGTGTGTTGCTGGAGACCCCTGCCAGTGTGTTGCTGGACACCCCTGCCAGTGTGTTGCTGGAGACCCCTGCCAGCGTGTTGCTGGAGACCCCTGCCAGTGTGTTGCTGGAGACCCCTGCCAGTGTGTTGCTGGAGACCCCTGCCAGTGTGTTGCTGGAGACCCCTGCCAGTGTTTTGCTGGAGAACCCTGCCAGTGTGTTGCTGGTGACCCCCTGCCAGTGTGTTGCTGGAGACCCCTGCCAGTGTTGCAGGAGAGAAGAAGTGGTGTTGTGGCACCGTGACGATACTGTGGAGGACTGACCTATAACACTGAGAAAGGTAAACTGGCCGGCGTGAGTACCATAGAAGACAGACTCAGGGAGGGAACCTTGAGCCGTGTACCATTGATGACAGACGGTGACTCGCCGGGTTAGAAGATCACAGAAGTTCGCTTTAGTGGCCTGTGTGAAAGTGTCACCTGAGATATTATATTATGTACATATGTTAGAAGTGTATATAGTTAAGAAGTACAAGTGGTGACGGGATGGTTTAGTGTTGTTTACCACCATTACTGTTGGAGTGACTATTACTGCCATGAATAACACACCTGTGACTCGGGGTGGGATCTAGTAAAAGAGGCACTAAGGTCCCTTGGAAAGTTTTGAACAGTAAGAACCCGGTTACTGGCTAAGTGAGGCCGTAACACTTAGGTATGTTAATATAAACAACAAAGACTTATAGTAACGAAATAATGCCTAATGAATGAATTAAAGTTGCATGATTAAGTAACAAAAATGAGGCGGGGCAAAGATGGGTAAACAAATTACGTGTTCAGGATTGTTCAAAACCCTTAGACACAGATCAACATCATAGACTACTACACAAACCTTAGAGGAAGAGTAGAGTAAGTGAAAGAGCACTGACATGGGGAGGAGAGTACCTAATAAACAGGAGTCAGAATCACACGAGGCGAAAAACATCAAGTCTCGGTGCAGGAACCAATATAATTTTATATTAATGGTAATGATCTATCTAAAGGAGTTGAATCCTATGTGATGTGTGCAGACGATGCCATGTTAATGAGAACAGCAGAGGCATGCACGATCACACAGTCACACGCTCTGTCTGTCTGTGTCTGTCTGTCTGTCTCTCTCTCTCTCTCTATCACTTACTCTCTCACTTCCTCAGTTTCTCTTCCTCTGTTTCTCTTCCTCTATCTCTCTCTGTCTTTCACAGAGATTTCACCCATGTATAGGATGAAATCAGAAGGGAACTGGAAGATGTGAAGGAAGAGAAAGCAGTCTACATGGTGAGGTGAGAGCAGTATAGGACGAG